TTATCTGCCAGGCACTGTTTTAAGCACTTACCTGTGTTTACTCCTTTAATCTTACAACAACCCTTTGAGGTAGGTCCTGTTATTATTTCTTAAGAAGAGCAAAAGGAAGCACAGAGAAGTTAAGTAACTTGCCGAAGGTCACAGCTGAACAGGGTGCAGAACAGGGTGCAAACCTAGATGGTCTGGTTCGGGAGCTGCGTATTTAACCACTATGCCTTGTTTTTTGGAGCAGGGAATTGGAAGCAGTTGTGTCTCCAAAGTTTCTTTAGGTTAGTATTAACACATGCAATGATATTTGAATTCCTTAAGTGCACAGCAGTGAGGAAGTGCAGAGGCCACAATGCTAGCAGAGTGGAATTTTTGTTTTTAGCAGGACGTACAGTAATGGAATATCTGATTGTGGTTCCTCAGCAGAATTGGCATGAAAGCCCAGTCCACACTCATATTACCCTGTTTATTTCTTCTAGATAAACGAATCCTGAAAGTTGCCATTGTTCTATTGCTGTGCTAGAATGGAGGCCCCACTGGTGAGTTTGGATGAAGAGTTTGAGGACCTTCGGCCCTGCTGCTCAGAGGACCTGGAGGAGAAGCCACGGTGTTTCTATGGCTCATCTCCCCACCATCTAGAGGACCCTTCCCTCTCGGAGCTTGAGAATTTTTCCTCTGAAATAATCAGCTTCAAGTCCATGGAGGACCTCGTGAATGAATTTGATGAGAAGCTCAATGTCTGCTTTCGGAACTACAACGCCAAGACTGAGAACCTAGCCCCAGTGAAGAATCAGTTACAGATCCAAGAGGAGGAGGAGACCCTTCAGGATGAGGAGTAAGACGTTTCAATTGCCTTTTCCTGCTTCAGTCCAGAACCCTGTAGTCTAGGGCTCCTTGACATAGAACTAATTTCTGTCTATAGGTTTATGGGATCTGACTTATATTTTTATGTTATCATAAAAATTAGTGGGGTTGTGTCCTGGTAATTGGCGACATTCTATATATGTCCTTTTTTTTT